ATGCACTGTGTTCTGTTTTTGCCGGCTAATGTGACATGATGCTGTATCACATTAAGCTGTGCAGCTGGTAATGACGAAAATATGGATATTACTTGTGATGATTGAATACCCAATGTTTTTATTTTATTTGGGAGCCTAACACGATGACTAATACTTTGAAGTTCAACAAGTAAAACTTCAAAAATGACTACGTTACATGACACCTACTGAACCTCAATATTTGCTTATTTCAGATCATGAAATGTAAGCAGTTGATTCTAACAGCATCTAAAGGCACAACAGTACAAAGCGACTTTTGTGTGGGAATGACAAATAAAACGTTCTCTTGTAAGGGTTTATTGACAGGTGTGAGGGAACCTATTTTAAGAAAACAGCCTTTAAAGATATACTGTATACGGAAAGTCCCATATTTTGTAAGACACTTCAGGTGAATAGGGTAACAATGTTTATCTAATAAATACAACCATGAAACTTCCCCAGTTGATGCTTTATATTAGGACAATTATTTGTTGTACTACAAGTGTTCTTGCTACCTGTTTTTGCCTGGAGGGAGGTCTCTGGAAGTGTGCTTAATAAACATTTTGAGTGTGCCGATGCTCTTTTTCATTTTGTTTGTATTACAAGTTTTCTGATATGGTTTAACTATGCAAATGAGGCATTATCTGATTCTAACTTTTGAAAGAAATCTGCAGGCGCAAACAGACAATTAGTGAAATAAACACCTAAATGTGTTCTGGGTTTTTTCTTTTCTCTAGTCTAAATAAAGACGTGTTATGGTAGCAAAATAACCCAAAAATGTTTAATGAGTATGATGTTGCCTGTAGTGTCTTGTCTTAATAAACTTAACAAATCAAAATAAAGGGAAACAGTTTGGATGGTTCTGGATTGAATTAATCCCTTACTAGATATCATGTCTCTTCTTTATTTGTTGTTTTGTCTGCCATTTAATCCGTCATTAAACAATTTGATTCCCCAGACGTTATCTGGTTTATGCATTACTGGCTGCGATGTTGGATTATGTTTATTAATGTAGTTATCACCAGAGAAATCTGCACTGCACAGCCTGAGCCTTGCAATAACACATTGATTTCCTGTCCAAACTAAAGTGTGTGTATCAAGGCTTGCCATGGAAACTGTCTTATGAAGCAAACCACTGCCATCTAGTGGACAAACGGTCTCTATGCTTGGATACAGCATAAAAAACAAGGGACATTGTACATTGTTCTAAAACACATGAAAGATTGCAACATTTCTTGTCATGAATGGTCATGATTTTCTTCTCAATTTGGAGAGAGGAGTTTAGGGTACAAGTGCATGAATAGATATGAAAATGTTCACAAATATTTCAGTCTAAAATTGCTTTGCATTTTTATTTCTCTCCTCCTTACTTTACCAAGACTAAGGTCAAATGTTTGAGTTCTTCGGAGTTCATGCCATTGCCCCTTTCTGAGGCTAATTGGCAGCCAACCGCACGCTTAAAGCGTCCCACAGGTCTGTTTTGTTTACTGAGAAAATTCAGCATCCTTGAGATGTCTCTCTGCTTTATCGCTCTGTCTTTCTGAAGCAACTGCAGTATGCTAATCCTTGAAGACTTCCGCTCCCACCTGCCAGCCCTCATTATTTTCATGCTATTTTTGAGATAAACAGAGTAGAGTAGCTCTGCACCACTGAGATTTCCTCCTATCATTCAGTAATGAAGATGGAGATGGCAAACAGGAGAGAATACTTATCAAACATTTGCTAAGGCCAAGGTCGAGGTTAGAATACACTGATCACATGAGGCTATGAAATTAAATGTTTAAGTTTAGAAAGTCAATTGTCTGACATTCAAGTTAATTCAAGAGGAACAACATGCATATTACCTTTAGTAAAATTATGTAAATCTATACCAAATACTATGTACTCATGTTAGTTCTACACCTTATTGATCCATTCTGTAAATCTGTTAACCTTGTGATGGTTGTACATAATATAAAATTGAATATTCATCTGTAATTTATGCCCTACTCTTTTAGCTTTGCATCCTCCAACAGAGAGATGAGTCAGTGATCAGTTTTGGCATCTGATAAGCCATAATTCAATTCAAATTGAATTTATTAGCATGACATAAAGTAGTCGCACCACTTACTGCTAAATTCATAAATAACCTGGACAGTGGAGAGAGAAGAAAAGAGCGCATATACTTGTGTTCGTCTGCACATAGTTTTTGATGAAATTGACGAGTAGAGGAGAGGGGGGGGAAAGTATAAAAGTATCGATCCTATTGGCTCTAGTATCGATATTTTGAAACGTAACGTAATATCGGAAGTATCGATATTTTGGGATCGATCCGCCCACCCTTAATCTACTTTTGAAGAAACCACCGAAGTGTCAACAACGCTTGACGTCACACGCTGCGATCACGTAACCTCATGGCGGTGGTCAAAAACAACTACGGTATATGAAAGCCAGGGTTGCCAACTCTCACGCATCTGGCGTGTGACACACGCTTTCACTCTCAATCTCACGCTCTCACGCTGCCCAAACTATTCTCACGCCAAAAACAAGAATACGAAGACTAGAAACAGTTTCGAAAACTTTTGTCACGTAGTGATCGTCTTCTCAATAGAACATCTTTGATAATGTCTTCTGGCCAATCAGAATCACGATAACGGCGTGGTGTTGTTGCAGGAAGTCCCGACGGAGAATACTTTTGTGGTAGTACATCTCTATACATCGATACAACATTACGTGTTGATAGAAATCAACACGTAATGAAATAAGACCCCACGGTTTGATGATTGATAGGTGTGTGGGCTGTCTTTCATTTTGACACACAGAACAATGGGGGCTATCCACCCATATCCACAATGTAAAGTAATTCACACAGCCTCTTCCCTCTTCGAGGAGCAGCAGGTTCAGCTTTCAGAACAAAGTAACAAAAAAATAATATGGCATTCATTTTTTTAAATGTGTAGTAATAGATTTATTTATTTTTCTTCTCAAGAGAGTACCAGAATGTTTATTTTATGTTAGGATTTTAAAAAATCTCCTGGGGGAGAATCCCCCCAGACCCCCCTGCAGGGGTTGGGTTTTCAGCATGTCAACTCTTTCACCTGTTGCAGGATTGGCTCCAGGTCGCCCTTTTTATTTACTACAAGACAAATGTGCCTTTTTATTTCATACAGTTCAATTTGGATTGAGACAGGGAAATAATCTAAACCTCACGCATGGCGTTTCACTGTCGGGGGGAGCGTGTATGTAATTACATTGCAAATACTGATTTAAGCCCCACCACTGTATGGGTTAGCCCTACCATAGATTACCCAACAAAAATACTCTGGAGCGCATGCGCAGATCTAAGATCCAGTAGAAATGATAAAAAAGTAAAAGTCTGCTGCTTATTGTTCTACTAGGCCAACATAGAGTCAAAGAGTACAGTATATGAGAGTGAGAGTGTGTTAATTAATATATTTGGCAGTTTGGAGTAAGTCTGTAGATTTGTTTGTGTGTGTGTGTGTTTCATGTATAGGCCTCTCACGATAATTCATTTTGTTGGATACATTTTCCCGGAAATTATTGCGATAAACGATAATATTGTCGGCACCGTTGTATGACCATTTTAGACCACTGACATAATGATAATATATAATAATAATTCAAGTACATCCTTTCAAACTGATAAGTCAATTAATTGCTTATCGCGACAGGCACACAATACAACAGTGGAAACAAACATGTTTGACTTTCATTAGTGAATGAAACTGTGTGCCCTTTATAGTCTGTGTCCATTATTGTGTATTTGTATATATTGTATATATATCCTATATATATGCTAAGGTCCCGCTGCTGACACGATAGCAGTCATGTCGTGCGCATATGTGTAATTAAACCGAATTAAACCCATGATATCACAATCTCACTCCAGCCAGGTACCCAAAGTTGGCAACCCTGTGAAAGCAAACAAACGTGTAACATTAACACTTACCTCTCAACTGCTCGAAGTTTGTGTAACATTTACATACATGGTTTGGGGCAATTTTAAAGGTAATTCGAGAACGTGTTACCAGCAACAAGCTCCAGCAAATGTCACAGTCCCTCCGTCATTTCTTGACTAGCTGCTTCGAAGATAAATTATGTTGCTTTCAAGTGCTGTTGGAAATGTGAGACCATGAACACTGTGTGACGTAAACAAATAATTGTACAACATATTAGTCTGTTTTTGTCATTTTGGGGTGTAACCTCACACAAATGGGCCATATAGGTAAAACACTAAGACTCTGTGGCTAATCCCCTGCTTTGGTTTGAATGGATCCGATACCTGAATAAACATAGGCCACTCGAAATGTCTGCCCAGACACAGTCAGTGGTACACTTCTTGCCCTCCCCCATACACTCTTGGATGTGCTTGGCCTTATCTCAAACACCTAAATCCCCATGAATACAATTAACCCCTTCCCCCTTCTCTCTTTACTCCATCCCAACTACTCTTGACCATTACCTTCATTAGCATGAACACAATGGCTAAATGGAGAAAAGGCAGTGAGCAAAAACTCAAGTCAAAAAGCTGATTTCTATTCTTAACATGCTGGCTCGGTTTGACATCCCTTTTTGCACATTCGGATGTGGTTACACTGATATTGTTCTTTATCTTTTGTACAGCACACATGTACACATGAATTCACTTGGCAAGGCCAGGTGTGTCCTTTGGGTCATAAACTATGATCATATACGGCTGACTTCTGTTCAATGAGTTAAACTGCCCAATTTATCTCACCCAGATAATCAAATCAAGATGCAGTCGCTGAGGCATGAGATTAGAAGGGCTTGCTGACTTGGAAGGAAAACCAATTGACTTGGGGGAATTAAAAATGTGTTTTAAAATGTAAGATATTGTGGAGCATAAAACAAATGCTGGCCTTAACAATTTGTCAGACATGGCCTGTGTTAATGAGCTGCCATGAGAAAACGGCATTAAATACCACATAATGAGAACATTTCAAGCAGGACTGAAGCAAAGGGATGATGCTTGTCGATGGTTTATTGTTATACAATTGAACAGCACATATTTCTTTAACCACTGAATGAATATGATGAAGGCTGCAAGTACCAACTTAGAAGATGTAATTGGGGGAAATAAATACAAAAAGGTAAAAATAAGAACCTGTAATCTATATGGTAGTCAAAAGTGTGTTTGTCTATGTGGAGACTGGATGTAAGACTGTGAACAAACATAGCTTATAAAAGGCAAATATTCCCCAATATTAAAAAGGAAACGGGTCGTTTTGGAATGAAGGATAGTACAAAAAATAAAATATCTTCATTTATATTCAGCATTCAAGTAAAAAAAACAAACATGTAAACATCTTTCAAAAATAGAATTGTTGGAAAATTCAAAATGAAACCGAAGGTGCATGATGCTTAGGAAATACATTCAATACTGTGATGGGAAGAATTTCAGTGCAAATACAGTGTGAGTGACAAAACCCGTAGTTCCTATAATGCTCTTCAACAGAAGCAAACATTCATTTGGAGAAAACCACCTTAAACTTTGGTGCAAAAATGTGTGAATACATGCAATAATTGAGTAAAGAATATAAAAACACTGGAATCCTGTTTACAGAGATATGAGACAACTCATCTTGTATAACAAAAGCTGACTGAGGGAAAACAAAATTAAACAACCAGAAATCTCCCAGATCAATAGCAAAGGCATCAGCAAAACAAATCATACATTTAAGCATTAACAATGTTACCACAATGAAAATTGAAAAAAAGACCCTGAGTACAATGCTTAGCAAGGAATAAAAGAAAAACGGCTTCAAACGAAATCCACTAAACAACAGCTTTGAACTGCCTTTTGCCTGGAGGGCGTCATGCAGGGTTTAAACTGACCCACGACTCAGTTTCTTTTCACACACGTGCAAATGTCCACGAGGGAGGAATGAGCTGTGTTGGTGGGGCACAGGAAGGACACAATGCATTTAAATGCTAAATCAGTGTGCTTAACATTCTTTGAGAACATGAAACGATGAACAACACCGGTAGGTGGTTGGTTTACAGTGAAATGCACAGTGTTGCATGTGAGATTTCCTGGGCCAAGAAGTTCTTAAACAGAGCTCTTCATGATGCTTCTGTAAGAACATTTTAATTGCACAAATGGTTACCCTTGAACCAGCGACACCCCGTGATGCAAAGCTCGCTTCCACATGTAATATGTTGAGCGTGGGGTGAATGGGAAGTAAGACCTGAACTCTTTAAAGGAGGGGAATGATTTCTCCTCGAAGCGTTGCTGCAAGAACAGCTTAGCCTTGGCTTTGAAGTTGGCCAGAGCCACAACGTCCATCGCAAACATCTGCTCATGCACGGGGGCCTTGCTGTGAAAGATATGTTGTGAATGTGGGGCATGGAAGGAGGGTATGGGGTTTCTTTCTAGATATTTAGGACTCTCGACAAATGGGAACACATTTTGATCTATTTTTATCTCCATGATTTGTTTTTCTGGTACCGTGTTCTCGATGATCACGGGGATGTCGACCTTATCGTTCTGCATGACGATCTTCTTCTTGCCGGTCTGACTGTTACGCCAGAGCCAGTAGAAGCAAGGGGACATGGATGGGAACTTGAGCTTGAACTTTGTCAGGGAACATCTGGACTTCTGGACATGCAGCTTTGCAGCATCTCTTAGCTGTTTTTTACTCATGTATGCTAGCCTGAAACTCCTGTATTTCCGCCTGCTGATTCTCATTCTGGGAACGAAAGCTTGGTTGAGGTTAGGCAGAACCTGTAACAGACTTTTTGGACTTTTGTCGGCATCGGAGCTTTCCTCACTGCTACCTGTGCTTCCTTTGTAACCTCTGTTGAACATCAAGGCTTCTCTCCTCCAGTTGTAGTAGGTTGATCTGGAGATCCCGGGGAAATTACTCTTGAAGATCCTGAAGGGGAAGGAGGCATTCATGGCAATGCAATTTTGCAGACAGCGCTTTGCTTCCTGCATGTGTGCTACATTCTGGGCCCGCTCCACATCCAGTTTGCTCAGGCCGAGGCCAAACATACTGGCCAGGCTGTCTTGGTGGTCCAGCTCATCATGCTTCGCTTCAGGCGAAGACCAGGTGTCTTGCTCTGTGCTTTCTCCAGGACTAATCTCTCCATTCGATGACGTTGTGGAGAAGTGTCCTCCGGATTTCAGCAGCTCGTGCTTCCAGTTGTAGTACGACGACCTGGAGATTTCAGGGAAAAACTCTTTAAACTGGTGCAGAGGAATGAGCCTGCCTTCCAAGTAGCAGGCTTGCAGGAAATATTTTGCCTCATACCTGGCTGCTGACTTTTTGCAGTGCTCCTGCGTTTGCCTCTTCCAGCGGTAGAAGGTCCTCTTGGTGATGTTGTACTTGTCCTTCAGACCCGGGTAAGAAAGCTGCAAGTCCTGGTTCAGGAGCTCCTCGCTCTTGGTAGGCGAGACACTCTTCTCACTGTCAGGACTTCCAAATGTGAGGTCACATGTCTGGACTAGTGCCACAAAGTGGTTAGGCTTGAACCCTGAGTCAGGCTGCATCTCGCCGGACCACATGATGTGGAGGGTTGCTGGCTCACAGTTTTTAGGCCAGATCCTTGGGCGAATGAGGCGGTTGAAATAGGGTCGAATCTTAAGGTTGAACATGGGGTAGATCGAGTAGATTTTAAATTGCAGGACTGAGGACAGGGCGTACACATGCCACATGTTGGCGTAGGAACCGGGGAAGCAGGAAGCTTTGACATCTGCATCAAAAATGGCCTCCAAGACAGTTGCAGGCAGGTTAAGCATGTCCTCAGACTCTTCAGCGCAGAGGCCAAAGCGAACAGCCTGCAGCATCACTTTTGAATCAATCATCCCAGACAGGTAGTATCTCTTCCACAGCACCATTTCCAACACTGTTCGTACCTGTGGGGGACAACAATACCAAAATATTAAGCGTGCATGTAAAAACAGTCTGGGGCTTCCATAAATTCGTTTTTCCGCATGTCTACAGAGTAGATAGTGGTGGTCTAATGGATAGTGAGGTGGGCTGAAGATCGGAAGGTTGTGAGTTCAAATCCCGCCAGGAACACCACCACTAGTGTGCCCTTGAGTAAGGCACTTAGCCCTCAGTTACTCCAGGGAGAATGTCCCTGTAATTGGAAGTCGCTTTGTATAAAACCGTCAGCTAAATGAAATGTAATGTAAGGTAAAAGAAGTCTTGACACATATAATTGAATGGCCATGTTTCATAACAGCAACAACTATATCAATCATCCGTGGCACAAATGTTGCTGTACAATTTAGACACATTTCCAATACTTACAAGCAAATTAATTTGCCCTAAAACCTTACAATTTAAAACACTTTTGGAAAAAGTGTTTTGACAAAAAAGTGCGTGTTAAAAACAAACATGACTGAATACAACTGTTGTGATTATATAGTTTGATGATGTTAAACATGTTTGACAACTTGAAATTAATCATTATTATTATTTACAGATTATTAACCACCACTGTTCACCTGTAGCTCCAAGCTAAGTCCAGTGTGGCCCACCAACTGCATGCTAACAGCATCAAACAGCAGGTTGCCCTCTCCTTTGCAGTTGAGAGGCAGGAGGCCCATGGGAGCATCGGCTGGGTACAGGCCTTGAGATGTGTAATCCACGCCTGCCCACTCAGGGAAATCCTGACAGGGGACCTCGGGGAGCAGGAAGGGAGCGAGGACCTGGTCCACCTCCAGGGCCACTCTGGTCAGAGCATCCAGGCCGGAGCTCTCTGTGGCCTCTTGCAGCTCCCCCAGAACAGAAAACACGACCTCCTTCCTCTGAATCATAGCTGGGGATCTGATGAGAGCAGGAGAGAGGAAAGTGGAAGTCAAGGACAATGGAGGAGAAGAGGGAGCTACTGAGTAGAAATGAAGTCATTTGAAAAAAATCGAGAATAGGCTTAGGAAATGAGTGCAAAATTAAAAATGTACAGTAGAAACGATTATGTAAATCTATGCAAATTCAAACAACAGCTGCAGCTTCATCAGGGTTCTGGGATAGTTGTGTCTTATTTTGGTAAAAATAAACACATCTGATATGTTCTACTTCTTATTTCACACGAATAATTCACATACAGTTAAGAAGTCTCTTTGTAAACGTTTTGTTAGGCCTCAACAAATAACATTTCATTAAAAAGACGTGTCATTTGAGTTAAGTCTGTTTTTATCATAAATTATTGTGTTATTTGAAACTAAACTAAATCAGTTCCACTCCAAAATCATTGTCACAAGGCCTACTTTAAACTGCACCATAATTGCGTTGTTTTACGCAATTTATTAGCCTGTTTGTGTCCCCTCTTTACCCTTACTCAACTAAAACTTCGATATTTACGCTCAGGTAAAGTTACCAAGTTAGCAACCATTAAACAGAACATAAAACACGCATGTTGATTCAAAACAACACTTTACTTCTCATTATTCGTAACGTAAAACAATATTGCAAACAATTGTATTCCTACCTGAGCGTCCAGAGATTATAACAACAAAAAAAGGAGACTTAAATGAAGTCACGGAGGGTTTCACAGCTGATACTGTTGATCTCTCTCTGGGAGTTTATTCCATTGTGTGCGTGCTGCCTCAGTGTCCTGTCCTCCCGTGAGCACTGGAGATTTTGGGAGTGATAAGCAACACCTCCCTTCAGGAAATTGTTAATCGTCGATTCGCTTTTTTGTCTCTGCGTCTATAGACACCTCCTTCAGTCCCTCCCCCTCCCCTCCTCCCCCTCCCCAAGTAGACTGCAGCCAGGGTCAATTTCAATGTGAAATGTTAACAAAAGCCAATGTGTCAGGAGCCATCAGAACACAGAGGCTGCATTGTAAGTAAACAGGTATCGGTAATGTTAAGCTTTAACAACACCTTTATGCTTTTCCTTTGCCAACTACAAATGTCAACAGTTCAGTTTCAAGGTTATTTGTAAAGAAAACTATCAGGGACCTTTTTGCCTAATAAGTATAAACAAATGTGGATTAACAAACACAATGGATGCTTACTTGTAAGCCTACAAATCCTTCATGTTATGATATTGAACAGTCATTTTGTCTTAATTAACTTGCGCTTTCTTTTACACTATGTGTCTTTATTCCTACGTATTCACTCCAGAGACTGTTTAAAAGGGTCCGTTTGTGGATTGGAGTGGATATGTGCAGACAGGGTGTGGACATGAGCTTTACTAGAGGAGAGGAGGGCTCCATGTCTGATGCTTGTTTCTCCACTGTATCACTTTTAACACCTCCTCTCCTGCCTTTTGCAGGATTTCAGTAATCAAGGCCTTTTGTTCCACACACGCACAACAATCCCCAGCGACTGTCCCCACCCCCACTGTCCCTACTGTAGACCCCCACACACACACATCAGGGGACTGCAGCATTTGGCCCCCACTGATCTGTCCACTCCAAGCACTTGGCAGACAAGCTGGTGCCTGAGTTCACTGGGGTTCAAGGCTTTGACCTGAAGCTTATCAGCTATTTGGACAATGTGTGAGTGTGGAGGGGGTTGAGGGGTTGAGGGGTTACAAAAGAACAGGCACAATTTCAACACTTTGATTTGTATTTCTGAGATTGTAAGCTGAGATAATGCATAGACACCCACATGTTAAAGGATATGATAATGTGTGTGTGAATCAAAACTCCTTTCCTGGTTGATAAAGAGCTTCCTCTCATTTGTCGTCTTTGACGTGGCATTTTTTTGTAGACTGTTGAAATACAAGCAGCGATATCACTGTTACATTTCACATACCGAAAATGTTGAAAGGAAGATTTTTGTAAGAGGTCAAAGAAAGTGTGTGAACATTGCATCAAAGGAGCGGAGAGGTAGGTCACACTGAAACCATCTGTACAGCTCCCTTTTTCTTTTAAAAAGGCCGTGATTTCTTTGTAGCTGGCATTAAGAAGACATACCAGTAGCAGAGGCTTTTTCACAGTTTGTTATTAATAGAGATGCTTAAACATAACTGTATCACAGTGTCCTTGTAGAAGTGCTTTATATCTGAAATACACAGTAGTCTCATGATTGTAAAAATTAACTAAGTATGTGTATGAGTTAAGGCACATTTGATGCATTTGTATACGCTTTCAAGCATTTTAAATCTCAGTCTGTTGCGCTTTGCCTTCATCGTCTATTCATAACGTCCCAAACTAAAATCAGAAAAAGGCAGCCTGCATTTTCATACTTTATAGCCTTTTTTGAAGGATGAAATCCGGAAAATTAACACATTCAGAAACTAACCTCCATTCCTATCCTGGTACAACCTCTCCACTGTATTTATCTCCCCCCTTTCTTGTCAATGTTTGTGTCACCATCTCTGTAACCCCCTCAGACCCTTGGCTGTATCCAATCACACACCTTAGGTGTGTAGATTAGCTGTGCTGCACTGCACTGTGAACACAGTAGTGGGCTGGCTGCAAGCATTTAAAATGCAAATAGGTCAACACTGGGACCGGCTCCGGCAGTCTCTCACCTGCTGTGTCTGTGTGTCTGCATGTGTGTGTGTGTGCAGACAGGACTGTGTGTGTACTGGCAGGGGAAAGTAGAAAGAGTTTAGACTGACTCCAGCTCTACGCCATATGTAATTTAGTGTGTTTGTACAGGCAAAATAGCAGTTTTGTGTCCAAAATGAAGTGCTGCACTGGGCTGGGTATAGGATACCTCTTGTAAGTTCCTCTACCTGGTTTTGACACCAATAAATAAACAGTTCTCTAAGGGAAATCTGTTCTAATGGAGCATTTATAGTAATGTGGCTTATATTGCTGTATTCAACCTCAGTAACCAGCTTTTCTAAGACTCCAAATAAGATTTATGAAAAGTTACTGCTAGCTCAATAAAGGCAAAGGGAAATGTGAAGATATTTATTTCATTGTGTTCGTGACCTATATATTATATGATCAAACCATGCAGGAAAAATAATATGACCAGACTCAAAAGTGAACACATATCTTTAAAAATATTTAGGTACATATTCTTCTCTCTCGAACTACTGTAAGGTGTTGTTCTATAATAACTGCAGACTTACAGTATATAGCCTAGTGTGTCATCTTTTGATTTATTAAAGATCTGAACACATGCTTTGCAATAAAACCCAATAAAAAACACCATTAACAATAACTGGAGTAAAGCATAGTACAAAAACACATGGCAGTACAGTGTTTCCCCTTGGATGGAGTCATAGCAGCGGTGCTAAGGCACGCGAGCCCAGCAAAATGTGAGCGCGGAGCGCGTGGATTTTTTTAGTGTGTGCACATGCGAAGTGCGCCCAGCCAATATGTTTCTACAGTATGTGTCTGCCAGCACAAGAAAGGCTCTTGAGGCTCTACAGGTGTATTTTGCCAAATCACCTTTATTGAACATACAGTAACACAAATACTACAAATCCACATAACAAACAATCAAAATAAAATCTATGCAATTTAATTATTTTAACCTGCTTTATTTGGGGGTGGACCTCACGGGAAGATTTTTTTTTAAATGTTGAAGTGAAATGCATCCATCTGGTGCACTTTGAGCACAAAATGAATTTATGGATACAGCTCTCAACACTCATATGAAAGGGAGCTGTATACTTTTCAATAATCCAAACATCTTTAGAATATGATCACAACCAATAACAAATCATTTAAACTTGTTTATTCTTATCTTATGTTACCTAGTTAGTATTCTTTCTTTTTATTTATGCATATTTTACTAATCACTCCCCCTTTAAAAAAAATGTTTTTACTGTCCTGTATAGTACACATTGGAATGATTTCTTACTTTATTTTTTACAACTATATTAAATAGATAAAGGTGTGCTTTCTCTAGCTCTCTCGCTCTCTCGCTCGCTCACAGAGGCTGTGTGTTCCTCCGTGGCGATGACGCGAGCGCCACGTATTATTATTTTAATGTATAAAAGCCGCTGAATGTATCATGGGACATTCTACCGAATTAGTACAAAGTGCGGTCCCACAACAAGAAAAACTATTTAACAAAACAATTAAGTATTCAGACATATATATTTACTAAGAATATGTTATGGTCTATTTAAACACAAGGCATTAAATGATATAGTGATAAGCTTAATATATATAAAAACATCATTTATAGGGTACTTTCTATTGGGAAGTCTACATTTAAATTTCTGTAAATAACACTTAAAACATTTTTTTAAATTGTGTTCAATGGTGTATTTAGAAGATCTTTATGATTACATTCAAACAGAAGTTGGAATATTTAGATTTATTGTGGGTATCATTTTTTAATAAAAAAACTATACTCAAAAAATCATGTCCCCAGTTTTCATGTCACCACCGAAACACAAGGGGTTTTAGTCCAATGGCTGAGCCTGGTTTTTAGCCACACCCCTGCATTTTTGACAAGGCAGTGACACTGCATCCCTGTCCCTCATGGCTGAATGGCAAGTAGCTATATCCCATACTTTTGATATAAATCTGTTCCAAAATCAGAAAATTGGCTTGTAACCTTAAGAATTGTCACTACCGAACACATATTATCTTCAATTAAGTAAACTTTTTCTGGGTTTTATGCAAAGTATTAGGTTTTTACCATAGACTGTATATATAAAGGTTTTTACGTGTGTAAACCTCTTCAAAAACGTGTATGCTAGCCATGTACTTGCTAGCATTCTTTAGTTATGCTCAATTTTAGCTAGAATCATCACTACCGAAACAGTCACTACCGGAACATATGCTTAAGTTTCGGTAATTGACATGAACATTTCGGTTGTGACAAAATGGAATGGTAAGCATAGTTTTTAAATAAATATGTTTTAAAGTCTGAGAATCAGTGTGTTACTTTAAAGGTATCTTATTATACTATTGTTAGGCATATATTATAGGTCTCAGATATATAAAAAACATGTCTATGAAGTGTTTTGCTCAAAATACCAAACAGATCATGCATTCTAGCCTCATTCCCCTCTATTTCAGCCTGTTACTAAAGTGCTGATTCTGGGTCAGTAGCTTCAAACATTCACACTTCAACATAAGGCATGTTATGAGTTAAGATTAAGCAATACGATTGAGGGAATATGATACAACCTTGAGAACAAAATACTGTGGTCACTACCGAAACAGTGGATGTTTTGTAAAAAATTAAGTATATTGAGTTATCAACTAAAATGATATGATACTGATTGGTTTAATGTATGTTCAATTCCAACAATCATCAACTCTGGAATCAATAGGATCAGTATTATGCATTTTACAAAGAAAGTTTGCATTATGATTTTTATGAATTGTATAAATTGAACTTTGAAATTTGATTACAAATTCACTTTTATTGATTTAATTGTGAAAACCCTCAAGAAATATTTGTTAAAATACTATTTAGAGAAGGGAAGGTAAAACAATCTTAACAGGTTAATATAATACTTTTTTACTACAGTGTATTTACTATGTTTCGGTAGTGACCATTTTTGGTAGAGGAAGGACATTCCAATACAGTCTGAAAATACGATATAAAAATGTACGGTTCTTTTACTAGATATGTGTAATTTAGATATGGTACAAAATATATATGGACAAAGTTTTGGGAAAAAATATACAACATTTCAAAAAAATTCCAACCTGACTTTGGTCCAATTCGGTAGAATGGCCCATATAGGGGAAACACTGCAGTAGCACGGAGCTCAGTAACAAAAATATGCACAGCACTTTGCCGTTTGGTAAGCAGACTATTTGTATCGGACACAGGCGTACACAGTGGAATCGCAATCATGGACCTGCAATCTGTCTGGGCTAACAGGAAGAATAATGTCAGCGTAGATCACATCGTCTGCGTTCACGACCTAAAGACACACAAAAAAACACTAATAAGGAACAAAAATCACAAAATATTGCTCTGTATGTTCTTGAAAGATAATTAACTTACATTGTTTGTACTGATTGTGTAACAGGACTCATCCACCTGCCGTCTCACTAAAATAAAGATGCACAGAATCATGTTTTGGTTCAATTGTGTTCAAACTACCACAATACATGTTCAGTGATGTACAGACTGGTGTATATTTCTCAAGCATAGTTTTAATTACCTTCATGTTTGGAACAATGAAAACAGAACTTAAAGCATATTTGAAGCCAATGTACGTAAAGTGATTGCCTCAATGACCTCAAAGAACAGTTGTGCAAGGGATCTGTGTTTGTAAGTGATTGTGTATATGTATGTATGGACTAGTCTGTGCTAAGGTATGTGACAAAATGTTACATGGCAGCGCTTTCAAAATACTATTTCCATAGGTTGAGTAAGTTTAGGGGAACTTACTTGTTCTTCTTCTGTTCACAATAAACAATGAAACAAGTGCTGTCAAAACCGCACATCCCACCACTCCAACAGCCAAACCGATTGTGTTCTGGTTTCCACCTGAAAATGAAAATTACCAGTGACGTGCGGTGAGGTTCATGGCTGGTGAGGCACTGACTCTTTCAGAGTCAGATTTACAAATATTATAGCCTATTTTGACCTTAATCGAAATATTCTGTTATTTTCAAAAGCTTTTTTAGTCTGATGCTATGATTAATTTTAAACAGACCGATCAACAAAAGGATACCCAAAATCTAAATATTGGATTGTTCTTTCTAAGTAAGATCCCATTTTCATTACAGTTGTGGTCTTACCTTGACTTGAAGATGAAGTCCATGCTATCCTTCTGGACAACAATCTCTATTACTGTTTTGTAAAAGTCCTCCTTATCTCCCTCTAGTTTCAAAAGTCTAGTTTCTTTGTTGTTTGCGGTAGAATAACAGTAGCAACAAGAACCTGTGGGCTCACGTGCGCCCCCTTCAGTGCGGCAGAGGTTATGGCTGCCTCTCCTGGTGATTTTTTCATTGCCGTTGTATGATGAGACCAACGAGCCTAAATATCATATATACGTGAAATAAGTTATTTAGAGACTATGGATGGCGAGGATAAATGTAATAAAGGGATCTACAAACATTACATTGGTGACCTACAGTGAGATGGGAACAGGCATGCGCTTAGGGCCCGCTTTCCAGACAGTTTCTGTGGGGTGACGCATTCTGAATTGAGGCAGAGCTCATCTGTGCCTCACCTCAGAATGCGTCACCCCACAGTAAATGGCTTGAGCGCGCTCACAAAATAAGTGGCCGCGCTAAATTAGTGCCCGCGCTCCAGCAAGTTACTGTGGGCTTACGAGAGGCAGTGCTCGTGCCTGCCTCACTTCTCATCGCTCCCGTAGCGGAGCTCGGCAAATTTGCTGATTTTGACTATAAAATGCGATTGGAATCATACATAAATCACATTTACACAAGATCAGTGGAGACATTTTATTATTATTATTATTTAGTTTTTCTTTAATTGTTTTTCCGTTACATTGGAGTATGACAGGTGAGGCTCTGCCTCCACTGACTGCACATCGCTGAAAATTACTCATCATCATTTCACAATTCAAATAATGTGTTGTATGGCTGAAACTAGTACACAAAATCCTCATCTAACCTTAAAGGAAGAGTTTGAGAATTATTTTGAAATTGATACCATTTTCACGACAGTGCGCTTAATATAAAGCTAAAGCTAACAGGCAGTTAGCTTAGCTAACCTTGTAAGACAGGAAACAGCTAGTTTGGTTTTGTCAAATAACCTACCAGTCAACAACAAGGCTCAACAACTGAAATGGAATATTTCATTACTTTAATATTGTCTTAAAACTATGTGTGAAGGTGAGTGCTTGCGTGCAGTGAGTTTCTGGAGTCTTGTAATTATCCAGAGGTTAGGCTTTTTTATGCTAAACTAAGCTAACTTTCTCGTAGAAAATCATATTTAAATGAGAGTGGTAACAATTTTCTCTTGGCAAGTAAGCGAATAAGTGTGTATCCAAAAAAAACACCCATTTCATATTTAATTTGAAATTAACTGCAAACAGTCGATTTGAATCTTTAAAACTCAATATCATACAAAAACCATGTAGTGCCTTTTAGTTATCTTGTCAGGATTAATAGTTCACATTTTCAGGAATGTTTTTGGGTTATTGAGCTTTATTTATTTAAGTATGTTTTACAAAAAAGTCAATTTGTATATGAGCAATAATTAAAGTCTCAGATTATTACTGTACCTTGATTTTCAGGTTCTAGGTCTATGACAAGACCTCTTCCCCTCCCTTTCGGAGCTACAAAGAAAAAAACATTTGTTATTATTAATAATTTGCATTCAACACCTAGTGGTCTACTGATTACGATAAATCATACTGACCTGGGACTCGGACCCCCAACTCCACTGAAGTCTGGGCCTGTCCATCCACAAACGCTTTGCATTTAAACTTCTTGTTTCCAGGACTTTGAAGGGTGACAGTCAGAGTTATATCACAAGAAGACTCCCTTTTTATTGGTTGTTCTGAGTCCTCTTGTATCTCAGCGCCGGATTCATCCACCCATGTCAGTTTGACCTTGCGATGATGTGTATAGCAATGCCACGGCTCTAAGTAGGTGAAGTAAATGCACCGCAGCGACACTGTTTTGCCAGGCATGAGGATTAACTCTGGGATGGCTGAGGGGGTTGAAAAATGTATTTACTGTTTGTTCATCTCACAGCCTTCTCATTATCAGATGAAGTATACCATATCAACCCACACATCAGTAACACTTTAATCTTGAGAGTACTTACTGTTGAGAGGTGAAAAAACCTCTGGCAATTGTTGGCAGCGATGAAGTCCAACATCCTCCGCTGTGATTTGCAGAGTGCATTTTGAGTCTTCTGATGTAGCTGTTTTGATCCCTCCATCACTGACAATAGCAAAGTAATCACTTGTTTGGCTACTGTTGAACTGCAATACAGGAAAGCAGACTAAACCTTCCTCACATGGAGAAGAACTTTGATAATTCTGTTCAGCAAGTATCAGACCGTCTTCTGCATTTACACCTGGTGAAAGAAAATAAAGAGGGTCAGTTTTTCTCCTAGATATTCCAGATAAGATAATTAAACTATCACGAGATAAGATTGTTTCAATTACCTGTCGTGATTAAAGAAAACAACAGCAGTCTTATGACAAGGTGAGCAGTTCCAGCCATCCTGTATGCAAATCTGTTAGCTGTGAAACATTTGAGATTCACTGTTTGTCAGGTTGTTAGTGCATTTGTCAACAGAAAAAGTCACTTCCTGCGTTTGCCAACATCCTCAACCTGCGTATGTGGAAAAGCCTAACTGCTATAGGTTTACTTTAAACTGAGTATAATGTTTAACAGGTTTACACATTTAAGAGCTCATGAAAGTCAGGGTTTAGTAATAGTAAATGGGGAAAACTTGCATGCCTTAAGAAGAAAAAATTAACACAAAGGAGTTATTTGGGATCATTGAAAAAAAGGGTCCCATTCTCACAGGAAATGTAAGAAAGCTGTAATGTTCCAAACCTTTTGTTCATCTACAGATAAAAGCATTGATTCTGCAGGATGAAGGAACTACTCTGACATTTTAAAAGACGATATAAAAAGAAGTTTATTGATCAGTACAGACTCTTTTTCTCCCTTTTAAGTCCTGTGAGAGGATATGACCTTAAACAAGATAAATGGATAAATAAAGATGTTAGTAATGAGCAGAGTCCAGCATCGAAGTGCAATCTTATGGGAGATGGTATTTATAATTTCAAGACAACAGCGCTGTATTTTTGAAGTCATACATATTGAAGTTCACTGATCTGGTTAAATTTAAAACGGCACAAATCATGTACAGAGCAAGACATAATCTACTTCCTAGGAAATTAAAAACATTGTTCATAGACCGAGAGGGTGGGTATCATTTGAGAGGAAATCTACATTTTAAACAACTCAAGGTCAGAACAACTCTGAGAAGTATGAGTATAACAATCTGTGGGGTGATTTTATGGAATGGTTTGGAGCAGGAGTTAAAACAAAGCACAAGCATAATTCAGTTTAAAAGGATGTACAGAAACACTTTTTTGGAAAACTATGAGAATGAAGAGAGGTGATTGAAGATGAGAAATTATTGTATATGTATGTATAAATGTAAATGTAAGTAGGAATAACTTGCATAATGACTTAAAGGACAATCATTGATCAAGTAAGGGGTGGGAATTAATAAGCATTTGCTTCCTCCTACTCCCTTTCGGACACATATGATTTTTTTAAATTATTATTATTAATATGAAGACTTTTTTTGTTGAATATATAAATATTATCGTGAATGTGGATAAATACTGTATTTTAACAATACGGTATTCTGTTTTTCACATTTGTTATTTTTGATTTAATCTGTTCGAAATAAAGATTGAAATGAAATGAACAGCGCTGTATATTTCAAATATGTCTTTTGTCTGATTGATATTAAAATAATTTTCAAGGTGATAAGGTATATAAGTAACTAAACTATTTAGTGGTACATTTAGATACAGATACATTGCACAGTGCAGCACCTTTGACCCTTGCACAAGAGGTGACGACTCACAACAGACCTCACAGAGAAAGCATTGTTTAATTTTTTCATTAGTTCTCTTAATAAGACTGATCCTTTGGGATGTTCTTGCAGTTACCACTGAACAACAGCAGAGAGCACTATAGTTTAAACTACAGTTACTGATCCTTTTTCTACACTATTTATAATAAGTTATGTCATTTTGTAGCTCCCTGTGATCCTGTCTCACTGCAAGCTACACTTGAGGTTGGGTTTTTCAAAATGATGCTTCTTTCTGAAAAAAGCTTTTCAAAAGTTACCGTCAGGCAATGTATCTCAAATTGCAATCATCATTTCCTAGATGCCAGTGGCCCATTATTCTGTTTAGTGCTGACAAATTAAACTGCCACCAGCTTCCCTTCAAAGCAACCCAAGAGTTTGATTACTTGTAAATAAATCCCAAAGCTCCTTATTTTCAATTTCTGCAATTTTCATGATCCAGTTAATTTATCCTGACATATAGGATGCTATGCTAACATTACATTGTTGACAGCCTATGCTAACATTACATTGTTGAATGCTTAAATGACCAGATGTATTAATACATCCTTGTTTAGGAGAACAACAGAATATGAGCTCATTACATTTTCATAGCCTTGCACACCAAGATAACTTGGTGCTTCATCCCTGACCGTGACAAAAGCAAACTTTTTATCTGATAATCTTTGTGTACGTTTTTTGCACATCTAGAGTAATTTGTATAATCAAGCTGTATAATACAGTGTAATGTACAATGTAGTTTAGTGTCTTGTATTGAAGCAAACAAGGAGGTGCTTAATACTTTTTATTGAGTCATTTTTGCACATCTTCAGTGACAAATCTAGACAAAAAGGTTGTGTGACTATGTTACAAAAATATCATATACGTATGTCTTAGTTCTTTTGGTAAAAATCTCCTCAGCAAATCCAACTGATCAAATAGAGACTTTAAAATTGCTTAAACTCGGACATTCAGGGAACCACACAACAACCTTAGAATGAAAAATATATGTTATACGTTTAAATATATATATTTACATCAACACTTCGACACAATCTCACATTAATAGTTACATCCTTCACATATTGCATCAGCTGGACTACACGTTAGCTGTCGAATCACCACGTTTCAGATGTAATCCACTTTACAGTCAGAGGGAACAGTCGCTGTTCAAGAGGTGGAATTATTGATTTAACTTCAACAACAAAAAACATACCAGAAATGTCCCTTTGCACTTTCATTTCTCCTCATCGCCCACAAACCAGTCTACAGCCATGGAGATGTTCAAGTTTCTCAGCAGCATTGTACAATTCAAACATTTTAATTTAAGCAAGAAATCTTTTTTATCCTTCCCGTGCGAGTACAGGTGTGTTACATTCAAAGTACTGAAAGTGCATCCGTGACTTCCTGTTCTCTAACAGCCTTTCAAAGATAGTCTTCACACACACACAACAGTAGTATGACTTGTTAAGTTAACAACAAGAGAGTTTCAGTAGCACCTACGATTTACAGCCAATACATTAGCATTTTAGTAGGGGAGCAACTACGATTTTTAACAGATTTTCAACATTCAGGCATAAATAACAGAAAAATAAACATACATGATACGGACCACACACATGCAGAAAGCAAACAAGGCCCACTCATTAACAATCTCTTAACATTATTAAGCTAATATACTAACTCGGAAAATAAATAAGCTGCAATAAAGCCCCAATCCAGAGGGGGAGGTACACCAAAGAAAAAATACCTTTTATCTTTATCTTCTAAAAATGTAAATAAAACGAAAATAAAGTGATAATGGTCTTACTAAATGAATTAGACATTTAGAAATCCCCTAGCAGTTTAAAAAGCTTTGAAAAAAGAACTGAAATGTATAAAAATGAAACAACATAATGGAACACGTGAGGTGCAACATGTATCCTGTTTCACTTCTGGATCAGGCCTTTAAAGCAGAAGCAAAGTTAAAGTGATAAATAAACTTCACATTGTTTGGTAAAACCTCAAATGCAATACAGACAAACAAACAAAAGGCCATCTCAAAATCCTGCTACGCACACTTCAGTCCCTTCAATTTCAGTGAAAATTGGGTACTGACGTGCGCTGCATCGAGTAATAGTGCTTTAGTGGGGATTAGATTGTAGCTGCTATTCATTTGGTTTAAAAGCACACAAAAGTGATAAGTTCCGCGCAAAAAAGCTCCATCTCTCTCTCGGCTCTCCACAGGATATAATTCAGTCACAAACAGGTGCTTCAGCTTCAACAAAATACAATTATTCATATTATAAGGCAGGGAAAATGTTTCCAATAAACATTAATAAAAGACAATGATATAAACACAGGTGCAGTTAAATATATATATAGAGATATCAACCTTCAGTGCACACGCTACCTAGCCACACCCTCACTTTTGTGGCTCAGTAACAAGTCTGGATCAGTGTAATACGAGAGATTTGTAAAACTGCTGCAAAATAACTTCATTTCTTATTAGAGGTAACACGTTTACAACTCTGCATCGTCAGAGGCGAGACTGAAACTGAGAAAGATAAATATACACTTATTTTCCTTTGTTTCCTTTTTAAAATGACAGACTGTTTTTGACTTACAATTGGGAATGACTGGTCTGTTGTGAGACTTAGTAACAGTAATAACCTTTTTTTTTAATGTTTGTTTCTTCTTTCCATTCTCTAGTAAAGTGCCCATGTTGAGACTTTTTGTGCAATCACAGGCTGGAGGGGTGGGCCTGCTGCTGAAGCTGCGCCTGGTGACCCGTCGGGGCCAACTCGCAGTCTTTAGATCCTTGCCCCTCCCCCCGGGAGTACATGAGGATGAGGGTGACGGTGGCGAAAGTGGTTGCGTTGACGGGGAAGGCTCTCAGCAGCGTGGAGGTGAGGCCTCGTGTGAACACCACGTAGCCCTCTCTCCTGACGCTCTGCCGCACACAGTCGGCGATGCTGCTGTATCGGTACACCCCCCCCACCCCGTCCGCCTGCAGCCGCGATTTGATCACATCCACGGGATAGGTGGACAGCCAGGAGGCGATGCCAGCCATGCCCCCTGCGAACAGCAGTTTGGGGATCATGAAGCGGTCATCTGGCTCACACCCGAGTCCACGCGTCAGCACGTCGTAGGCCAGGAAGTACACCCCGAAGCCGGGCGTCTCGCGGATCAGTGTGGTGACCATGCCTCTGTTCACGCCCCGCAGACCCTCTCGGTTGTAGATGCGTACCAAGCAGTCCAGGGAATTCTTGTACAACTTCCTGGAGGACTTCTTCTCTCCAGTACCCTGCAGCTGCAGCCGGGTTTTAGCCAGCTCCATGGGGCAGCAGATGACACACTGGATGGCGCCCGCTGCTGCGCCCGCCAGGAACTGGTTCATCGGGGTGTCGTGTCCCAGCAGACGCATGGTGTTCCCCTGGACTCCAAACACTATGGCGTTGATGAATGTGAGGCCCATCATGGGGGATCCGATGCCTTTGTACAAACCAAATAACTGTGCAGGGTCAGAGACATCGTATTAGACAACATGTGTTTACACAACCAAAATCTTAAAAAAACAACTAACTGTAGGGTCTCTAGATTAAATGCAACAGTTGTCTTTCACTTACATTACTCAGTTAATGGATAAAACACTGGTTTAATAATTGTTGAGGTCATATTTGGCAAAAGAACATTGCTTATCATGCAATGTTTTCAGAGCATGGCTCCAATGCTAAAACTAATAGAAATAGAATCATAAAAATACGGGTTGTGCACGTGTAAAACTCTGACATGTTTTACTGTGTTCCTATGTCAAAAAACTTGCAGATGAAATCTAGCAGAATATGTTCAAGTGTAAACAACACATGTAGCCTACTTCATCGAACAATTTCTGTCTTTCTGTAATAAAGGTGCCTGCAGTAAACGTGAACAAAATGACCTGAAGCTTCCAAAGCAAAGATCCTGAGAAACGCTGCTCCTTCAGTTTACCTTGTCACAAAATATGTTTTTCACCACCACCATTCAACAGCTCCTAATAGATATTCTGACATTTGGAATAGAAAATCCTGTGATGTAAATATACTCCCTGGGCTAAAAATAACTGATCTAATTGTTAACAAAAAGAAAAAGATCACAATGTTAACACCGAAAGTGACATTTTTTTAAAACGGGAAAATCAAAGGACAAGTCTGAACCCCCACCTAGAGTATCCAAGTATCCCACACTTAGGCCTCACTAATTAAAGTTCCGTCTTAAAATGAAGAGTGACATAACTCTGCTCTCAGTTCACTCTGACCTCACTACCTTTAAACAAGTAGAGGCCACAAAGATAGATTATGTCTAATATAAGTTAGCTGACCTAGAAGACACTGTGTATATAACCTAACCATAGATACTTATCCGTTATATTACAGCACGCATTAGAATTAGATTAGCATGGGAAATAAAACCACGTACCGTCTCCTGCCGAATGATGGACTGGAAACAGTGAAAGGTCCCACGGTACAGAGGCTTGTCCACACTCTGGACCTGCAGCCTCACCTGGAAAACAAGAAACATCAGTCTGTTAAAGCCAGAAAAAACACAGGTATACATACATATGTTTAAAGGTACAGAGTATAGCCTAAAAAGGCTTGTTATATAACTCGGTAATAATAAACAGTATTCTGATCAAGAAAAAAAGCACTTGGCCCACCTTAACCGTGTCAAATGGGTGTCCAACCAAGACTCCAGCAGCCCCTGCAGACAAGAGAAACAACATATTTAATCACAATAAATTGTACAAAAATAGACGTAATGATCATTTTAACATCATTTTCATAAAAGAATACTAAAACTATTATGGTCATTTTTACATCATTTACATTTTCATAAAGACAATAACAAATGGTTATGATTTAAGGATTGGTACCAAATAAAGATATTTGTTTAAGTCTGTAGAATATGGTTTGTTGTCAAGCACTCAAATATTTGATTAAAAATGTTATTTTGACAAACATTGCAGCCTGAATTATTAATTATTTGCCTCATGCAATTTAAAAAGAGCAATTATGCCCACATTTGGATTAATTGTTCAGCCCTAATGGACACATTCATTCAATCAAATAGTTCAATTTTTGTTAATAAATTAATGACACCACAATTTAAAAAAAAAGTCTATTAGGCTTCAATCTTTATAATCATCAACACAGTAGGTGCCCAATGTTATCATAACCATAAAGCAAAACTTGTGGGAGTTAAATACAAAGGTGTTTCAGATATTCAAGCACACACTAACACTGGTTGTTTTGCACATCTGTCACTAAGCGTAATGTTATTTACTGCCAGCTCTGCCTTTTTACACACAGTCCAATCCTCTGCTAAGTCTTTATAATGCTTTATAACACTTTTTCTGATAACTTTAGCACAAACACATCAGGCCTGTTTAGTTCTTGGCCTATTTGACTCGTGTTTGAAGGCCAAACCTCTTGCTGCTGGCACTGTTGTGTAATTTTAGAGCGTTCCACCATCTCCTCCAGGGTAACACTATATTATCACCCTCTAAACTTTATTTGGAGCGCCTGTAAAAGTTACATAAGCTGTGCTTGTGAATCACATGCCCAAGTTCTGATGCCAGATTGGGCTTCTGATCTCAGTCTACATTGAAACTTGATTACAGTTCCTGGAAAGGCCACAAACAACATTAGGCTTTAACCACAAAACAAACAAAGAATCTGAACTCAATCCAAAATAGGACAGCATTTGGGTTTTACAGGCAATGTGACGATCTAAATTTGCCTTAATTGAGATATTTTGCCAACAGTTTCATTTAGCTACTGGCCCACTGTGTCACAACAGTAAACAAACCACAGGAAGCTTATCCGTCATAAGCACCTGCTTTTTCACCTGATTTATTTGTGAAAAGGGCCAATCAGGAATGAGTCCCAACTGTAATCCAGGAAAAGAACACAAGCAGGCGTGGGTTTGACACAATGCTGATCGGTCATTGACCTCATTGCACTGCTCTGATCCCAGTGCTGGGAAAACAACCGGACGAGGGTGTTTAATCATAGCTGCTAAAACTGTTTTATTTAGTGTGTCACGAGCCAGCTTTGAATGCCAAAGCAAGCTGGTTTAAATGTCAACATCAGTGGTTTCAAATGTAAAGCTTTCGTTTTGACCAAAACAAGAACAAAGTGATCCTTAGTCAGCAGCAGCAAGCTTCCCATTTCCCTGAATTGTACCACACTGAGAGGGGTGGGATGTGCCAGGAAAGTCAGTGTTAAGGAAAGAAAGCACAGGATTGATCTGCGGTTTGGGGGTGTGTAGATTCACGTCATCTGCATATGGTGTGTGGAAACTTTAAACAGCCAAGCCATCTTAGCGTTAAAGCTCAGGTTGCACTTATGTAGTGTTTGCATGCTTGAGATTCTCAACAGGGTGTCCAAGTGGAGGGACACCAGGGAGAAATGCAGAAGGTTGGAGCATCCTTGGTTAGCAAGCACCTGTTTTTCCCATGTTAATCCTGTTGGAAATATCAGATACCTTTACATTCTGTATTCAAAAGTGTGTAACATAACTATGTATTAAGTGTTTTGCTATTAAAAACACTACTGTAGGACAACAAGGAAAATGTTCACAGGAAGTGAGCTCTCCAAAATATTGAGCTTCATATTTTCATCCTCTACTTGACCCTGGAGGTAAGGCAGAGTCATTTACAGCTTTGCTCAAAGTCAAAGTTTGCAACCAGGTCAAGTACAATCAGAGGAATTTACAACACTTGCTAAAGAATGACTTCCTGTGGTGGAATTTCAAAAATGCACTTGTAATCTTGAGATATAGTCGCATCACAATGGTAGAGATGGTTCATGTGTTTTAACTGTTACAAGAGAATAACAAATTGGTATTTCACTACATATATGTTAATATAATTCCTCACATCAAGGTTGTCAAATGTACTCATCTAACACAATATAAGTGACTCACCTCCGATGCATCCAGCAACGAAGTCCATCGTCGCTCTTCAACGTCCCCTGACAGTAGCGGAAGATGGACTAAATATGACCTACCGCTAACTGAAGAGGCTCTTAACTATTCTACAAAATGTTTTTTCCCAAAGCCTATGACTTTGTTGTGAAACAGACAGTTACAGTCACCAACTGTGTAATCTACCGTTAATAGACTAATTGACACTTTCAGTTAGCGTCTATGTTAGCTAGCGCTGGCTAGCTATGTCCTAGTCCCCCTCTATGACCTGACAACCTACAGAAGCAGCCAATTATATGTAATGTGGGTCGTATTACTAAGCTTGTCCTCTAATTATCCTCACAATACTCTCCTGTTGACCTTCTCAGTGAACTGTTCTGGCGTTTACAGTCAATGCAGACACCCTCACCGCTGAAGCTGTCTATCAAGGAGGTTTATTCTAGCACGCAAGCTAGCGTCGCCGGAAGTAACTAGTAATGGGCCGGAGTTACCGGCCTTGCTAGAGTTTCTATCCAATCCGGATGAAGAGATGTCGCCGACACCCCGCTTCAGACGTAATCCTCGTCACTCATTGGCTGCTCAGCACAATAACTCCCCAATGTTGAAATGCGTCATAAATGCATGTGATGTTTTGCTTTTGAAATCTCCATGAATGTTAGAGGCATTTGTTTCATAATTCAAACGTGTTTGGTTCGATAAATGTATGGAGCACTCATTTCATTATTCATTAATAGGCGGGTTGACAAATTATATCATCTGGTACCTACCCTTCAAATGTTCAGCCAAAAAGGGTTTCAAAAGTAACTTTGTCCTGTAAAGCCTCATATCATATAATATAGTTTGTATCATATCATATCATATCATCAGAAAATTAAGGTTTTGTGTTAATCGTGTAATTGTTGTGTATACATAACAAGTCTACTCTTTAGATGCAGTAAATATTTCGGCTGTCTTCGACAAAAGTCGGGATGAATGTTTGTAGTCGACCCGGCTAGTAGTCCTGTCACGCTACACACGTAACAGCAACATGTATACTCAAGGTTACAGCATGCTGCTAGAGCAAGAATGGGGACTTATCTGACAAGTATCTGTTGGTCGTGCACCGTCTGACAGGATGCATATCAAGGATTTTGTGTCTGGATCCCTTGCAGGTAACATGCTAGCCCTGCCGGTTTCTAATGTAACGTTAGCATAAGCCGGTTGGCTAAATGGCTAGCTACTGTAATAGCATGATGTATGTGTTACGTTGTTAAACATTGTGTGCTTCTCCTCTTATTCATGGTATACCGTGTACACTTAGTAGTGGAATAAGTATGCTAACTGTCATACAGTGTTACTTAAAACGCATGTCGTACATGTTTCATTCATGTACACAGCCTGTGAGCAGTGTTACAGTTAGGCAACAAATCACCACGTTTGACTTTCCTCTCAGTTTAACACATGTTGAAGGGTTGCAGTTACAGCTCATAATCTTTAGGATCGCTGTGTTTCTGTTCTTGTTCTGTGCCCTTGATGCTCCTCTCGTTTCTCTGGAAACACACAGGGGCATGTGGAGTTGCAGTGGGCTACCCTCTGGACACTGTCAAGGTAAACTGCAGTGGCCTCTATTTTAAACACGATGTCAATTTGGCTATGTGATGTGACGAAGGGGAATCATCATATTCCTTATTTTTTTAGGTCCGAATCCAAACCCAGAAACAGTTCACTGGGATATGGCAGTGTGCAGCGGAGACTTTTTCAAAAGAAGGGGTAAGTGGAACCGGTGTAACAAATAGTGCAAGCGTGAGGGTCGACAGGTCCTTTTTAAACAAGTTAATATGTAACAGTTTCTAAAGTGTAACATGTTCACTACACATTTTCAACAACTTTCTCAGACAAACTTTATTCAGGGTATCTGCCCTAGGGCTGAAAATAACGATTACTCCCAATTATTTCTCGATTAACCACTTGGTTATTTGATTAATAAAATGTTAAATTGTAAACAAATTACGACATGCTCAACTGTCATTTTTCCCCACCATTTAGTGATAATAAATTCACTGACATAGTAGATTAAAAATAACAGCAAATATCCACATTTACGAATCAGAGAATTTGGACTTTTACTTGAAAAATATAATATTTGTTGATTGATTTCATTGTTGACAACTAATAGATTAATCTTTGAAGCTCTAATGCTCATTATCAGAGTGAATTTGGACTTGCATTAGCATGAAAAGACAGTTTATAGGCATAAAAAGTGAAGTGATAGATAATAATATAAATATGGTATACATGGCATTTATATAGCGCTGGTCCTGGTGCTAAAAGACACTTTACAAGCAGGTAGAGAAAATAACAGGATCCTAGATGAGGAGGAGCATTCTTAGTTTTCTGCTGCTCTGTGGTTCATCTTTGTTTCCTCTCATTTGTTTCATAAGGTGCATGGCTTCTTCAAAGGCCTGTCCTTACCCATCACTACGATCTCTATGACCTCCTCAGTGGTGTTTGGCACATACCGGAACTGCCTGCAATGTCTAAGTCAGGCGCGAGGAGGTGGTCCAAACACCAAACCAGAGGTCTTCCTGTCAGGCATGTTGGCAGGGATAGCTCAGGTAATGGATACGACTTTACAACCCCCTCTTTTTACAACGTATGTGTATATATGGCAGCTAAAACCCTCAAAAAAACATTTTCCCTTGGTTTCCCTGATGTAGAGAGCCTTGCAGATAGTCTTAGTTGTTCACATTTTGAGATATCCTCCTCTAATTCCTACTGTTGCATCTCTGTTTATCTGCCTCCAACAGTCGTCCGTGATGTCTCCAGGTGACATAGTAAAAGTGCGTCTGCAGTGTCAGACGGAGTCCAAGCGAGGCGGTACCAACATGCCCAAACCAAGGTACCGCGGCCCAGTCCACTGTCTGCTCAGCATTATTAAAGAGGAAGGGTTCAAGGGGCTCTACAAAGGAGCTCTACCACTCGTGCTAAGAGACGCACCATCTTTCGCCACATACTTTCTGACTTACACAACCATCTGTGAAAAGCTGTCAGACGGCAGCAAGAAAAGACCAGGTGAGAGCAGTCAACACCACGTTTATATCCACAAAAGGCTTATTTTTGTATTTTAATCTTTTATGCTCATCTCAAGATTCAAGGCTTTATTGCTTTTATGTGCACATTAGCTACAGTGTAGATATGGCAATGAAAAACTTAAGTCACATGCTCCTCCAACAGTGCAACATGAATATATATATATATATATATATATATATATATATATATATATATATATATATATATATATATATATATATATGTATGTATAGGACATAAAATAAATAAAACAGATAAAATAGTGCAAGAGAATGTTTTGAGATGTGCAAAAATTTAAATACAAATAAAATAGAAATAGTGCAAAAGAGTCTATATACAAGTATATATATACTTTGTTACAAGTCATGTGATGATTTTTGTTGTTTATTCACATGGTCACATTCAATAACTTGAATGAAGTCATTCCTGATTATTGAATGATTCATTCACAGCTCTTCTTCTTATCAGCGTCAGTCATCATGTTGTATCACAATCTAAATTGAGAGTGATGCAATAGCTGTAAACTAGCTCATAAACTAAAGCATACTCATCCCTTAACAGTGCATTACCTACAGGAAATGGGAGTTGGCAAGACCCTAGTTTGAAGAAGCAGATAAGACTAATGGCACGGGAGCAAAGCAACGTTCTGCTGTAAAAAGACAGCAGCAAAACATATTTAGCCACCTAAAAAGACTGTGAACTAAAGCCATTTTATCTATTTATTATATCTATCTGGGTGGCAAAGTCATTGTCAGTGTTCTCTTCAGAGCCATCAGACTTCATTGAGAAAAAAAATCAGGCAAGATTATTGTTTTGACATTAGTTCAGTCAAAAGTCAAAGTCAACTTTATTGTCAATCTTTCAGTTTGTGTGTACAGACAGAGAGATCGAAATACCGTTTCCCACAATCCCGAGGAATACAAAATACAAATATATATAAAAATATCTAAAAAATATTTATATACATATATGTCAGAAAGGGCTGTCTCAGGTTAAAGCGGTTAAATTATTGTTATTATAGCATAAACTGATATTGATTCATTTTAGGTTCATATGATACTGTTTGCTTCTTTGATGATATATATCTTTTGCTAAGTACTTAATACAACCCTACTCCAAAAGATCCAATTGTATCTTTCAGAAATAAAAAAGCAAGATAATGTATCTTTATCTAAATGTCAGTATATTTTCATTTCCTCCAGCTTGGGGTGTTGTGATGCTGGCCGGTGGAATATCAGGAATGGTAGGTTGGACTTTAGGAACGCCCATGGACGTGATCAAAGCCCGGCTGCAGGTGGACGGGGCGCGGGAGACGAAGCACTACAGGGGCTTCTTCCACTGCATCACTGAGACAGCCAGGGTGGAGGGGGCGGGGGTGTTCTTCAAGAGCTTAGGCATCAACTGTCTGCGCGCTTTCCCCGTCAACATGGTGGTGTTCGTCACATACGAGGTTCTCAACGGTTTCCTCCAAACAGGACATGACAGTGTTGAACAACCTCGGTTTGGGTTTGAATAACCTGCCTGCTGGTTCTTCTTGGGTTTTTTATGTTTTCAATGTTTAATTTGGAGGTTTTACATACATAACTGCATAGACTTCTTTGTGAAGGAAATGTATTTTGCAGTGCAGTATTCTATTGGAACCACAATCCGTCTGTTACATTTATGCTTATATGCTTATGGGGTAATTTATCAGTACTACAAGTTGGACCACACACCTCTGACCACTAGATGGCCTCCCTGTCTAACTTGTTTTATCTGTATGTTAATGACAAGAGAACAGTTTGTATAACAGCTTCAGTCTTTAACCAGAAAAGAAGCATGATGTAACCTCAATCGTTTGTAGACTGCTAATACATAAACTATATTTAACTTTAGAATAATTAATGAGCTGCAGCACGCACAATTTAGAGTATGATACCCGTCCAGTTCCTTGCTGCCTGTACTCCGAGTATTTCATTGACCAGTGAAGTGGTATTAGTATTACAATTTTTGGACTGTACTTGAGTATTTCCATTTCCTGCTACTTTCTACCTGTAGCATATAGAATAATACATTTAAACGACAGCCTTTGAAGAATTGTATTTATAATACAAATATAAACACATTTATCATGTATTTTTGTAGTTTTGGATAAGATATGTGAAATTCACAAGCTATCCAAAGTTACTTAATGAACATATAGCAATAATTGTAATTTAAAGTATAACATTTTATTCTGAAAGTGGCTAGTTTCACTTTTTGTACATGATGTATGCTTAGGTCAGTGGAATTTTGTATGCAAGACTGTTACTTTAGGGCAGTGTAGATTATTTCTACACTGTGATATTACTACCTTTACTTTACCAAAACATTTGCGTCCAACACTGTTCATGACTCATTTCCAGCAAAATCACAAAACTGGACAATCTCAATGCGACTATAATCTTGGAATTTAAAACCTTGATTATCTGGATTAATGAGAGGATTAATTGATAATCACGTAATGTTTATTTATCATTGTTATACACTACAACTGCTGAACTGCTGTTAATGAAAATAAATGCTCAAAACAAGATGTCTCTTATTGAAAATGGAGCATACCTGTAAACATACTTGTTTTATTCCATCTTAACTTGTGGCATGATAAGGGAATATATCTGTTCTCAGAGTGGGGGAAACTGTAAAATCACAGTTCCTCTATCAGGGGGAAACACGTGAATCATATTTTCTGAGATTTTATTTGTGTGAGTGTCATGAAAATGCTATTTGTGCCTTCCACAATAAATGAAGTCGGTATTAACCAGTGTTTTATTACTGCTCATTACTAACCCAACACATGCCTTAACTAACCCTAAACCACTAATACCAGGTAAAGCAGACACTGCAGAAATGTGTCCTGTATGATTTAACCGTTCTGTGGGTTTGTACCACCATCTAGTGTTGGAGTTTGACACCATCTTGGCAATGTCATTCACATTGGTGTCTGCAAACTTAATTCAATTTCACAGCCTTGGCCCCAGCTGTTTCAAACCTTTTTTTCAGCTTTTTCTTCCTCTTATTGTTGTCCATTTAAATAAGGTATGTCTGTATTTATTTATCTGTGCGTTGTCTCTCTTGATCTATTTAATCATATTGTTGTCAAATAGAAATGTATGCAATTTACTTTGATTTGTTTCTATGCAATCTTGATCCAAAATGCACTGTACAATGTCAATTGTTTAATAGCGAGTACCTTCATCTTGTGCAATCTATTATTTTAAAGATTATGCAAATATTGACAGTATCATTTTTTACTTTTAGACTTTTTGTCTATGTGAGTTTGAAGGTATCAGAAGCATCCAATGGCAAATGAGTTTATTGCAACAGCCGAAAAGTATTTGTTAAATGACAAAATGATGGCTAAATAGCAAAGAATAGATACTTTTTTAAATGAAAAGCTAAACTTTTACTGCAGGAATGTGAGAGCATTTTGTCGAAAGAATTTTCAAAAGTTGTCTTTAATAAATTCACAACAGTTGAATGGAAACTATTGCTTCCCCAGATCTGGACAAATTATCTGAAGTGTATTAAAATAAATCACAACTTAATCCTTACATTGGTCTGGTGTGCAAAGGATTTAGAGAAGATTTAAAAAAGTGCAGGCAGGAATATCCATCTGCCTGGAATTCACACAAATGTTTTGAAATGTGTCTTGAAAGCAGCAGTAACCTCTTTCCACATTTTACATAAGAGGGGACAAACAAGCCTATTGTTTAAGGAAATAATTAACCGAATCAGATTATCCTACAAGCAAAATCAAGTGTAATCCAGGAAACCGTTTAAGATCCGATTGAATGAACACGCCAACGCTCTGTCAAGCCCACAGACATTATTACTCCGTCTCTCTGTCATTGTTACTGACAAACCTAAACTGTGTGAGATATGTGTTAGATTCATGTTTTCATCTGTTGAACATGTGTAATTGGCTCGTGGTTATCCCACCATGGGTGCAATAAAGCCCAATTATAAAGAACTCAACTGTGATGATTTATTTGCTTTACGAATAACAGATTTACTCAATGGATGAAGTCATGGGTTAGAGCCCCAGGAGATCACTTCTCAGTCAGTTCTGCTGCAAGATTAGGATCAAATGCTGCAAACACGAACAAACTAAAGAGAAAAGGAGTGTCTATTATTGTTGTTGATGTGCATGTGGTAATCGATAGGTCTTCAACATACTTCACAATCTTCTCAACGGACTGCATAACTTGTTTTATAACTTCTACAGACATTAGTCAGGATTAATTAGTTCAAGTGACCCAACAGCATAACTGGAAAAGTTTACCGCCTTTAATCTACAAGGGTTGACCATTTGGCCTTACATAAAACACTTGCTGAATTTGAATGCCCTCCATTTGGGTTCCACGCTAGTGCGGGTCAGGCTTTTTTCACAATCGGATACTTGCTGAAATTCTAGGAATTGCTGACTGTACTGTGAAACAAGAAAACGGCTCAATGTTGCCTTTGTTAGCTGCTTTTAATTAAACCCTGCATGTCTTTTCCCCCTTATGCAACAACAAGCCACAAGTATGCAAGCACTCACAGATCACATTGAATAAAGTTACAGGCCGGTTGTGAAATGGCTAGAGTTTCCAATTAACTTCTAACATGTTTGCAATGCGTCTATGTTGTTGTGTTTGTGCTCACCATATCCCCCTGGGGTTAAAAGGAAAGCTATTCAAGAGACAGTGTTTGTCAGTGATGAAAATAGATCTTCTTCAGACCTGTATTATTGCATTTCGGTATCTTGGATGATCTTCAGACAACTTAAATAGGTTTGAGAACAAGATTAGTACCACTTCTGTAACACACATACGACCGATTATTATCCCAGTGGTGAATACTGTGTTGCATTTTAATAAGCAAATCAGTGGGATGAGTTCTAGCGCATGACTCACATCAGAAGAGCCTTTCTTGTCTTTCAACTGAATCACAGTATATGTTTCTGTGGCTTGTGTTCAGGAATAGAAGCCCATCAGTCGCCCCTTATTATTACGCTCTGGTGATATATTACAAATTCATTAGGATTGTTTCAAAACACAATCAGGAACTTCCAACGGCTCTCCAAACAAGTACAGACACACATGATAAATCAACCGGTGGAGTTTGTGTGGGTGGCACATTAAAATGAAGGGTGTTCACATAATGTTTAATATGCTTAATTTTGTTGTCAGAATCCTCTGTAACTACCACTTGGGTCCCCATTCAGCAATTGCTGTTTGGGCTATTTTGGGAGCTCTACGCTCCCTTGTTAGTGACGTGTGCTGCTGGGTAAATTTGCAGCTCCGGTGGCCTGGGCCTGCAACCTCAGATGGCATCAATCGGGAAAAACATGTAGGGGTGGGAGGGATGACAGACAAGATGCTGGAGGGAGAGAAACAGAAAACATAAAAAATACAACTATTGAAAGATGACTTGAGGACATGAGTGGGGTTTGAATGAAACTTGAAGAAACTAAAAGAACAAACAGATATAATAAGAATAGGTATTTTTAAGTGAATGTACGGATTGCGTCAGATGAAAGACAAAAGCTGAGGAAGAAATGAACTATAATAATGACTTAAATGTACTGTTTATAGCGCCTTTCATAAACCCAAGGACTCTTTTTCTTACTGATGACTAACAAGTGTATAGAAAAGTGATAGGTGATGATGAAGGTGGAGGAGTGGGGGCGCTATTGTACTTGATACTAACAAACTGTGGCAAACAGCAGGAAAAAAGGACATACTGAATAAATATTTTTGATGCTCAGTGCAAATTCTGTGATGGTAATGTTTTTGTATTACATTGTTTTCTTTCCTGCATGGAAGACTGCCTAGTAACGAGCAAAAGTGATTGTAAATGGAAGTTTTGTCAGTATGCGATTTAAAGAAAGCCATCACAAATAAATCATCTTTGTCAATCATTGGATGTAAAATAATGTTTAAAAAAATCCAATATAGTTGGTAAGGTTTATCTTTGTGGGAGTCCTAGTGATTATAGCCAGCACACACTGCATAGTTGCTCTTATTAATACAATCACAGATTTTATTTCAAATGTTAGCAAGTAGCCAGTAGCCGCTTGCCATGATCTGCTGTGAAATTAAGTTTAGAAAAACCAATGCAGGATAAGAAACTGTAAAGCATCATCCTTCCTGTTGAGAAGGTCAACAACTTTAATGGTTTACTTTCTCTTCTCCCTCAATGTTCCTATGACGTCTTTCAGCATATCTGAGGTGCTATTAAACAGTAATGATCTATACGTTGAACATACATTCCTAAGACATTCACTCACAGCAGAGCTGGGCCAGTAAACACTCATAAAAGTGATGCAAGGATTCCCCTAGCGCCCTATTCAAATGTCTCAGTACTGAAAATAAGTTAAATAGACATGTTGTGTGGTGTAACATTTGCATACGTCAATGCAACACCTCCATTGTCTTTCCTGTCACATCAAATTCAGCACCATGTCCTCATTTGAATCCCTGGCCCTGAGCCAGCTTTGTGTGGGGACACCCTGTACAGTTTCCTTTCACAACACGTGTACACATTCCAATATGACATGGCCATTTCTACTGATCATAATTCCATTGTTGAGGTCTACTAGAATAGATTTACATTGTTCAATGTTCCAAAATCACATTGGTTTCTCATACAGCATCTCTGTATAGTATGTGTATTCACTCTCTGTCCTAAATGGCTTGTTGGAGCTCCTGACCCCCCTCCCTATGAGCCCACTGTGCTCTGATTGGTCAGCTCGCCCACTCTGTTCTGATGAGTCCACCACCGTTACAGTGGAACATCAGTGTTTATGTGATACAATGGCGTTTGTTAGCAACCAGAAAATGACACCAGTAATGACAAACAGATGACGGCAAAAAACAAACACTGTTTTTCTCGAAATGCCGGAGATTCTTAGAGATGTCCGTGGCTGCCACGTGCACACAGACTGAGGCTCGGTGCGCCCCACGGAATGGTTGAGGACGTCGCTCGCCATTCCCGCGACCTGCTAGGTATGGAGGAACCCGTCTTCTACCTCATGGAGCTGTTTCTTCGGGATATGCGGCTGCATGTCCAGGCTGCCCTAGCTCACGCGGCTAGTGTTGAGCCCCGCGCTTTAGCCGAAGAAGCTAGCCGGTTCTTCCTAGCCGCCCGGCGATTTACCCCTGAGGTGCTGGCCACTATACGCTGCGGCACCTTCCCTGGTGGGGGCACGCCGCCTAGCAGAGGCTCCGGGGCCGCCGCCGCCGCCGCCGCCGCCGCCGCCGACAGCGACTAACGGCCGTCGAGACCGGCTAGCCACGACGGATAACGGCTGGCAGCTAGCGGCTAATGACATCCGACTGTTAGCCCCCTTTTTTTTTTTCTTTTTTTTTTTGTGGTGCCGGAGAGGAGGTTCGATCAGGTCTGGTCGGCCTCATGTGGATCCTCTCACAATTTCGCCCACCTGTTTTTGATTGTGGACAGGACGACCCTTTTGAGCTTTTTCTGGTGCCTGAGAGGAGGTTCGACCATGTCTGGTCGGCCTCGTGTGGACCCTCTCGCTTTTTTACCACCTCCACGGCGGCTTCGGGCGTCGCCCATGCCTTCTTC